GGCACCTCCTGCGCCCCAACAGGGGGGCCCGCCCCAATATTTGAGAAGTACTGACTTACATGAATAGTCAGGCTCGCCTAGCTGTACAATCAAGGATGTGATCAGGGAACATAAAATGTCACTGTGCATTACTAATCTGGCTAATCTGTATTTCAAACATAGTTAAACAAACATGATCAAAAACTAATCCTAGAAAGAAATGAAAATTGTCTCTGCGGTCAGCAGGGAATTGTGAATTGTCAAAAAGGTTGGGATCCAGTGGTTTACTGAAACAGTAACATCTCCGTGTTCTTCACTCACCATCTCCTCCTCCTGTTTGCGTTGCTGGTCAATCTTCCGCTGCTCCTCCAGAGCTTGTTTCTCCTGTAGCTTCCTTTGGTTCTTCAGCATCTCCTCGTGGAAGGAGCGTGGAGGAGGCTTGTTGTGTTCACTCAGGAAACCCTGGATGTAGTCGGCCAGCTCGTAAATCATCACCTGGACGAACGGGTGTGGACGATTAATCATTTTTCTATGAACGTACTGACGTGTTTGTGTCTGCGTTCGCGTCCCTCCTCACCTCACCGCACCGCTGCGCTGCCAGTTGGCCGACTTCACTCTTGAGGTTCTGGAGGTTTTCATTGGAGAGGCCTTTGGGATTCACTAGCTCCAGCTCTGGAGGCCTGTGGACCCAGGGAATAATGTCAACAAGACGTAAGCACCAATAAACACTGAGGCCATCCTGGGTGTGAGAACAATTTTTTACAAAATAAAATCAAAATAACAAAACATATATATTGAAATATAAAATAAAATGTTTAGTTTTAATTTAATTTTGAATACATTTTTAATATTTGTGTTTTTTTAAAAAAGGCACAAGATATATTTTTTTGGGTCGTCTTGCATCATGTTTCCGAGGAGTTTACGAATAATGTCTATTGACTTGGGTTGTGAAGGTTTGTGACTTTTAAAATACAGGTCCCCAGAATAAAAAATATAAAAATATATATTTTCCTAGCACATCCTTTGTCGTTTAGTTATATTTCATTTATTGGTGGCAAATTTACCTACAGTCTCAAATCTTTACAATAACGATAGTTTATGGGTATTTTACTACCAAAAAAAAAATCAAATTTTTGGCAGCTTTTAGCAACAATAACGATAGTTTATGGGTATTTTACCGCCTAAAAAAATTCACATTTTTGGCAGCTTTTAGCAGTTGTGAAACTAATTTAAGCTAAATTAATTTGTGGGCCAACATTTTGTTGTTTTCGTTGCTATTCATCATTAACTTAACTCTAGGTTTTTAATAATTATGACTAACATAAAGCGAAGATAGTAGGAGTTCCACAGCATCTATTAGGTTTCATGACGTACAACCAGAGGAAGCTCAAGTACCGCTACTGGTACATGGACCATAGTTTGAAAACAACTGCCTCTGAAGGCCTGTTTAACACTATAAAACAGTATGTTTTTTTCTGTCTGTACAGAAATGTTTGTAAAATGCTTTGCCAATGTGGTAAATATTTAAAATACATTTAACTGAGACAAATGCTTTTTCCTAAATTTATGCTTTTTTGAGTTATAAGTTTAGATGGTTACGGTACGTTATCATTTCTGGTTTATAACAGTGGATTGTGCTGTCGTTATGTTATCAATACCGATAACGAGTGCCGATAATGTTTATATGAAGTCAATATCAGTCCACGTCAATGTAAACACAACGTGTTTCTTCACACTTCACAGACTCGGACATCTGGAAATTTTGGACAAAACTTCAGTTCGAGTCAAACAGCCTACTTTTGTCTCAGTGGACTGTAGGGTGGGAGTGGGGCGGTACTCACGCGTCTGGGTAGGTGGGAGGACATTTGACATGCAGGTCCACAGTCACGTAGCATTCTTGACCGTTGTTGAGCCCGTTGGGCCTCAGACACAGGTACACCTCTGGAGGTCTTTTAACCTAAAAGCCACATGTTTTGATGCAGTCAGGAGTCTGCTGCCAACTTCTTACCCATCATTAGCTAACTAACTAACTTTGAGCGATGCTAACACCTCTTAGCTACCTTCCACGGGTCCTTGTTCCGTAGATCCTGGAAGTCATCTACGAAGATAGAGGCGAGGGCTTCGAGTTCGTTCTCCTGCTGCACCGTGTAGTCGTCTGTCCCATCTGCTGGAGTGACCTGGCCGCTCATTCTCCAGCCGCAGCTACATGGCAGAGCTCCTGTGCTCCGGACGCCCTCCCACTCACAGCCGGCCGTTAATC